GGGAGGTTGCATTTACCGTGGCGCCAGGCAAGGCTTCTCCATGGAATTCTTTCCCCTTTTCCCTGACGCCTTTCTCCGTTCTCCTATCTGTTTTACAAGCCCAGAGACTCGCCAGCGCCGTCTTGGCAAAATGGCCCCCGTCGCTTGCCACGGCGCCATGGAACACCCCTATCTCTGCGCAGGCGTGCTTCCCCCTGAAATTCTCATTTCCATTCCCTCCTTCCTCTTTTATATCCTCCCATTACTATGTACAGTTTAAATACCTGATAGCGCGTTTCTGTCTAAGTGGCCCCCATCGCCCGCTGCGGCGCTATAAAATACCCCCATTTCCGCGCAGGCGTGTTTTCCCCTTTCTCTCCTTCCTCTCTCATGTCCTCCCGTTACTCTGTACAGATGTACAGCTCAAATTCCCAATGGCGCGTCTCTGTCCAAGTAGCCCCCGCGGGGCGTCGCGAGGCGCGACATTTTTCTGGCGCCACAGTATTTCCGCCCAAAGCTTCGACTCCCTATTCCCCTTTTCCCTTTTCCCTGTCCCCACATTACCGTATGCACTGGAAATCTCCAGCAGCTCGTCTCGTTAAAATAGCCGTGGCCGCGTGCTGCCGCCGTTGCGCGCCGGGGGGCACTATATTACCCTGGCGCCAAGGAGTCTTCCCCTTTCCGTCTTGCCTTTTACCTCTTTTCCGTCCCCTCCTTACCGTATATACTTGATATCTCGAACAGCGCCTTCTCGACAAGGTGGCACCGCCGCGCGCTTCCAGTATCGCCCCGCGCTACGGAACGCTGTACTGCTTTGGCGCCGGAGGGCTTTGTCCCGTTATTTTTGTTCCCCCCTCTACTTTTCCTTTTTCCCCTTATCTTTTTTTTACCGGATGGGCCCATAGCTTCAACAGCTCGTTTGTTAACTGCAGGACACACCACCGCCGCGCACCGCGGGGTACCGTATCCCTCTTGGCGCTAGGGGTTTTCTTCCCTTACCTTACACTACATCCTTTGCTTTTCCTTTTTCCCCGTCCCTTTTTTTTGCCGGGCGGACCCAAATTTCCAAAAGCTTGTTTGTCAAGCCTCTTGGCGCACTTACTGCTGTGCACCACGGGAACCCGTATTTTCCTAGGGTTATAGGACCCCCCCTTTAAACTATTTATTCCCCCTTGCCCTTCTCCTTTTTCTCTTTTACCCGACTTACCACAGGGGGACAAAACTCCAACAGCCAGTTTGCTCAACCTCTCCGCGCCATCACCGCCACGCACCACGGGATACCGCTGTCGCCTTGGCGCTGGGGGACCCTTTCCCAAGGTTTTATCCCCTTTTGCTCCTCACCGTCGTCTCCGTCGCCTAGTTTATCGTATAAACGGAAAATGCGAGTGGCGTACCTCGCTAAAATAGCTGCCGCCGCGAGCTATAGGATGGATATTAACGTTATGCTATTCACGCGTAAAGGGCCCCCAGTGCAAAACTCCCATCCCCTATTCCTACTCAACGATAAACCTAGATATGCCGCTACTTTTCACCCTGGCTACCACCTCGCTATCGAAACACTCATCCTGCATAACACCACTAACGTATGCGGAGCTAACCATCCGGTAGCGCCCAGTTGACTGCATTGGCCGTAAGACCACGGGTATGCCGAGAGGCTCGCACACGACGATGACGTCCCGCTTATCCATGGCATCGCAGGTAGTTAAGCCGATGCCTCCAGGCCCTGAAGGGAAGATTAGGCGTTTGCCTGCGAGTCCTAGGAGGATTGCCGCGCGCATATAAACGAGCATGTCAAAGCGTTCGTGCTCCACGTTGTTTGTCTCGTTTTCGCGCAGTAACTCCAACAGCCGATGCTCCAGCGGCTGATTCTCCAGTTTATCCGCCGCGCCCTCAGCGCCGCGGTTGTGCTCTCTGGTGATCATCCTGGGATTGACTGCGTTGAGGGCGGTTGCTAATCGTCGCCGGTACTGGCGCGCCTCAAATAGCCACTGTTCCTCGTCTTGGTTGTCCTGGACATGGGGCGGAGAGTAGAACAGCTTGATAATTTGGGCAGCCAATGCCACCAAGTCGGTCTCGAGCAACACCGTGGTGAATGAGCTGCAGAGCTGCCAGCCGTCCAGGTGCAGCATCCTCCGGTCGTGCGAAATTACAAACCGGGAGCTGCTGTTGGCGTCGCTGCTGCCGCCGCTGCCTGCGGTGTTTTGCGGCTCCTGTGACGAGAACTTCGGGTGTAATGGCACGAATGATGTCATGGTGTCAAAGACCGGCTGCTCGGGGCCGGAGCTGGCGAAGTCCAGCACCCAGGACGGGTAGCGGGCGTTGCCGCAAGCGCCTTGGTTAAAACGGTTCGGGAAAAATGAAAACGATGTAGCCAGCGAAAAAAGCGCCGGCGGGCGCCGGCGGATTATGTGCACCGTCGCGTTCCAGAAGACCTCCTCGTGCGGCTGGTTGTAATCCACAGCTGGGAGTGGATTACCGTCGTCTTCCGCCGCTAAATCGATCATCCCGTAGAGACCGTATATGTGGTCCCGGGGGTTGTGGCAGCAGCGATGGATAGTGGCGAAGAGGAGCTCCATGAGCGAAAATTCTCGGGCCCTGGCTTGTTTCGAGCGCCGGTCGCTGATCTCTCCCATCACCCTCGCTTGGAGGCTTAGATTGGGGCCGAGGAAGTCTTTCGTCCGGATGATAGTCTGAGTGCTGTACATCGGCGCGCGGTTGGGCTCGTTCAAGTTTGGAAGTAAATCCCATAGCTCGACCACCTCCGAGCCCAGGAACTCTTTCTTCGCGCCACAAAACAGCACGGGCTCGTCGCGGGCCAGGATGTGCTCCTGGAAGGTCCACATGCGGCTCCAGTAAGGGCGCGATAGAATGTCGAAAATGCCGATATGGATTTCGAGAGACGACGCTACAGCCTCGGGCGACCCCGAAGACTTGCGGCAGGATGCGATTGCCTTGTCGATGTAGGCATTGGACTCGCCCAGCCATACCAAGACCTTGGAGGCCTCCGAATATACCCTGCCCATCAGCGGCACTTGCACGTTCTTTTCCAGGTTATCCGTCTGGTTGATGCAGACTGCATCTGCCCAGATGTCGCGGGGATCCGATCTTCTCAGCCTGCGCAGTGCCCTTTCGAGGCTTGCAGTAACTTGCATGTCGTCGCCGTCCACTTTTATCGGTTTCGTGGTCGAGTTGCCGCCCCAGGCGTATGACAGCGCTTCGAAGGATGGGGATGGGTTTGCGTCGAGGGAGACGATTTTGAGCCTACAGTGGACCGGGCCGCCATGCTCATCGGGGAGCAGACTCAGCACGCGGATCTCTGACCGGCTCGGCTCGAGAGGTGTATAGACGGGCGACATGGCTGTGCTTTCTGTACGGGTCACTTAAAAACCAAATAGCAGGAGTAATGGGGCCAAAGACGAGAGGGAAGCGATGCGAAGAGTGTGTTTGCGTGTACCGAGGCAACACTGGAGACGGACAAAGCTGATATGCTCAAGTCGTCAGGGCTTTCTTTGCGCAAGCGGCTCCCGCTATTAATGCGACGCACATCAGACAGCAAGCCCAGTCGGGGACGCCCGGCACGGCAGAAGGGTGGTGTTCGAGACCGAGGCTGCTGAGCGGGGCTCAGCTACGTTCATCGGGCACCTGCTGCCAGCCGACATTGACATAGCTTTCCAGGATTTCCCCATTATTTTGCCAGACCCTTTGGTTCTCCTCCACAAGGATACAATGGAATTACGGAGTGTTCAAAGTGCTACCCTATAGGAGGAAACTCGGTGCGTTGCTCGATGGAAAAGAGGGATCTAGCTAGGTGGATTGGAGCCACGATTCTTGGCGTGGCTCCATGTCACGTACCTCTGAGCCGGCAGGAGGCCGCGCATTAACATGGGGTTCATTCGCTGGAACAAATTGCCTTGCGCGATGCCTCGTTTGGGCTAGCACCACCCCGCGCTTTCGCGTCGGACTTGGGTTGTAGCACACGATGATCGTTCACAGTTGGATTGGATGAGAACCTTTTTTTCTCCATGTGACCGCCGGAAAAGATACGTAATTTCTTTTTAACCAGTCAACGGGACTTGCAGATGAAACATTTATACTAACGTGACGCTGTGAGCCACCTGGCAAATGCAGGCGATCGGGTGAAGAAAGAAAGCCTGGGAAAAAGCCCGGGAGGGAGCCCGATCAGCCAACCCACATGAATCGCCCGAACAGGTGGACCCACTTCAGGCTTCCCGCTTGGGATGCTAGCCGCTTATTTTTTTTCGGGGCCGGTGCCCCAGCCTGGCCTTGGGCGGACAACACAGGAGTTGGGTACCTATGAATATAAAAAAAAAGTTACCTACGGGTTGTTCTCGAGTTGTTCATCGCAAGTAAACCGATACTAGCACCAATTTGCTCCTATGAAACGGCACCACTTCACTTTGAAAAAATCAAGCCTGCTTCCTACACAATGAACGAAACGCGCTCTCGTCAAAACCCCTTTGGGACAGAGGACGTGGAAAAAATAAAAACCTTGTGGGAGTTCAAGATCGACCGAGCCGACGTCGACCGATGGGCGTTGCGGGACATTAGGTTCCTTGTTTACGACGACACGGACGTGAAGTCGAATGGGTACGACAGCGACGACGAGGAGGGCGTAGCCGAGCCGGTGCAGAACGACCCGATGCCGGCCCCTTCAGGCAGCGGCTCGACGTGCACAGTCTGCTCCGGCATCCCCGAGTTCCCCAGAAATTTCAAGACGCGCAGGTTCCGCTTGTTCAAGCCGGCCGACGAGGTTCCCGGCTTCGTGAAGGAGGATGTGGCAGTGCCCGTGGAAATCTGTCCCCACTATCTGGCCGTTTCGCACTGCAGGCCGCCGCCGGGTTCGGCCGTTACAGCCTTTCGGCGTACCTGCCGCGTGCGCGACCTCGACGGTACCACGCGAGCCGCCCGCGCGCTTGATGACGTCCTGGACCGTGCCGTCGACTTTGCCAACACGTGCGGCCTCCGCATGATCTGGATCGACCAGGAGTGCCTGCCTCCTCGGTCTTTGGTGGAGCGGCCGGCGTCGGCCCTACTCCGGGGCTCCGCGGACGTCTCCGACTTGGACAAGTCCGCCACCGAGCCGCCGCCCTCCTTCTCACCAAGAAGCTTGTCCTGTCGGGTGGCTCCTCCCCCTCCCCCGGTGGCGTTCCGGCAAATAGGCGTCGAGGTCATGGACATCGTTTATAGCAAAGCCATCGCAACCGCAGGCCTCCACGACGGCGTGGTGGTTAGCCAGCAACAGCTTGACAGTATCAACATGCTTATTAAATACGACAAATCCCGGGGATCGGAACCCCTCCAAAGCCAGCACCACCAATACTGGCAGGTGATCCAGTTGTTGAAAGCGGTGGCGGGGGATCGCTGGTATACACGCGCATGCGTGGCCCAGGAGGCAGTTACCGCTAGCCTCGGCCTTTTTCTCGTGTTTCGGAGGGAGCCTGGCGTCATAGGCGGTTCACGTATGCGCTGCATAGAGGGTTTGGAGGAGGGTCGCACCCGGCTGCCGCCTCATAGCCTGGACACCCAGGAGCGCAAACTCTCATCCGAGGTCGTCGGCATTAACGTGCTCGACTTCCGCAAGCTAGTGCGAACGACAGAATGGGTCTACACCCTGATCCAATTCAAAGCTCCAGACCGGAGGATAACTAATATAATCATGCCGATCGTAGACGTCGCCAAAACACTCCACCCGACCTTGTCAGACGGCAAGCCGCCTGGCGTGCGCAACAGAAAGCAAGCCATCAACGCCGCGACAGCTCTTACACTCCTCAAGAACCGGGATTGCCGCGACGCGCACCACCGCATCGCCATCGTAGCCAACATGTGCCGCTACGAGATCCGCATCGACACGGCCAAAGCGCGTTGTGATTCGGCACGAACCGGCATTCTCTCGCTCGCCCTGCTCAATTCGGACCTCTCCCTGCTCGTGCCCGAAATGTACGCGTGCTCCACGAGAACCAAACCCTGCACAAATACCGACTGCTGCTGCGCTATAAAGAACAGGGGCCTGCTTTCGCCTTTTGATACCCACCCCGACGCTATATGCGACCCGAACCCGCGGCAGAGCCCCTACATAAGGCCGACGGTGCACAAGCACGGGGCCGACCCGGCGGAACCCGGTCTGCTGCGACTCTCCGCGCATACCTGGACGGTTGACGAGGGCCTAAGTCTGGGCATCCTACGGGACCAGTACCTCGAACAGTGGCGTGGCCTAACAACCCTCCGCCCCACGCCCGTACCGCTGAAAGGTGAATCCATCAAGGCCACACGGAGACGGGGGTTGCTGTTGGCCAGGCATTTTGTCGACACCCCCGACGACGACTTCCGGGCCCAAGCCAGAATGGAGGTTCTGCAAAACGGTGGTACTCTACCGCGAGATTCGCCGCTATGGCGTGGTTTGGACCCGGTCGGCGTCGAGTTCAAAGTGCAGCCCGACGCCAATTACATCGAAGGCAGTCCCGAAAGGCGCCGGCATATGGCCGAGATTGTGTTCGGCATTCTGCGTCACCTAAACGGGCTCCAGCGCGAGAACCCGCGGGCAGCTGGACTAGCAAATAGCATATGGCAGTCGCTGTGCGTTGCCACACGCACAACCCTCGCCTCTGACGAACGCTTCTCCGGATCGCTAGTGCAAAATTTCGACCTGCCGGATACGGTCTGCGAAAAGTTTTTCGTGAACCTATGTGATCACAACCCGCTCAACCCGTTCGACATGCTTCAGCTCGACAAAGACAGAAGTGGTGGCTACCGTCAGACTTGGTTCATCGAACGGATTATGCAGCAGGGAAAACTGTGGATCGGGTCATACGACCGGGCTTTCCCTGCCAGCAAGAAAGGACCGTTGGAGGAGCGCACAACGACCGCCCGTGCCACAATTCTCCAAAGGCAGTTGCGGGATCGACTGCTGATGGATCATATATTGGCCACCAAGCAGGAGCTCGCGACTGACCCGAGCAAAGCCGACAGTTTGTCAAAGTACAGCGCAAACATTGCAAAGTACTTCGAACTATCGACTCTTTCCAGCACCCCGCGTGAGGCCGATGAGGAATGGGCGCGCTCGCTAGTGTCGACCTTTGACGTCGACGGGCCTTGCACCGTGGCCACGCCGTACGACCCCGTGCGAGAAATGCTGCCGCACCCGGCAGTGCGGAGCATGAGCGCGTGCTGGGTGGTCAAAGAGCTCTCTCCACATTCCCACACGGAGCGGGCGGAGGAGCCGGGCAGCGCCTCCGCACAGGTTGGGCAGGACGGTTGCCGCGAGGCGGACAAAGGGAAGGGCGTTGAGAGACGGCAAAGTGCAGAGGACGATGGGCCGAGCAAACCGGGTAGGCCGGGAGGGGACTTTTATCCTGCTGTTTCACGCCGCTACAAGGTTGTTGACAAAGTCAAAGGGCTGTGGGAGCTGATGGACAGGCCCTGGCAGCAACATTTATTTGTTTAGAGGCGATGCTATTTTCAGGTCTTGTGTTTTGGTGGGAGTCATGGGGAGCAAGGCACTGGAGTTTCTTTTTTTTTTTTTCATTCACGCATTGGCCATCAAAAAAAAAAATACACGAAACGGCTTGCGGCAAGGAGTAACCGGGATGCTTGAAATTACGTAGGACAGCGTATAAACCGCGGTAGACCCAACCCTGCAGTTGTGACCGAGGAAGCGCTCTTGCAAGTAGAGATTTGGCCTGCCCCAGATGCCATGGTGTTCGTACGACACCGAGCGCGACAACGTCTACTAAATTCTTCTCCTAATCACCACCTTGAAAGGTTCCTTGAGCCTTTTCATCCCCACTGTACTGGCCTCGGTGACCGGCATGACCCAGGAGCCGTCGGAATCGGTATTTACGGGCTGAATGTCGTACTGATGTAAAACGGCTGCCGCGAAGGCCATGGTCTCCCTGAGGGCGAATACGCGGCCGGGGCAAGCAGACGAACCGCCGCCTGTGTGGCGGAGAATCTGTGGGTTAGTACGACAGATTCTAGCAAGAGCAGCACCGGGGAAAATGGGCGGTGCTCCACGAACCATATGGCCGAACCAAGCCCAGCTTGGCGACCGCCACCTTCTCCTTGCCCGCATGCGCGTCGGCGCCAGCAGACATGGAACCGACCGCCTCTTGCACCGTGATGTGGCGCCGGTGGTCCCACGCAAAGGGGTTCGGGAAGATGCGGGGGTCAGTGTTGTGCATCTCCTCGACGACGTGCGCGTAGGCGCCCTTGGGCACGCGCCACTGGGCCGCCGGCCGCCCCTCGCGCCGCTGGTCCGTCAGCACGAGGTCCTCGCGCGCCTGCCGGAAGCCCCACGCCGAGCCGTCGATCCGCAGGCTCTCGACGTACGCCGCCTTGAGCAGCGGACAGCGCGAGCAGAGCCCCTCAACATCGATGCGGCCGCCGCCGACGGCCAGCGCCGCCCCCGGCCCGCCGTTGCTGCTGCTACTGGGTGGTGCGTCGCCGCCGCCGCCCCCGAACTTGAGGTGTGGCGCCACCTCGGCACGCACGCCCGCGAGCAGGGCCGGGTCGGCGGCGACGCGGGCGACGACCCAGAAGACGAGCATGTTGGAGTTTGTGTTCATGGCCCAGGCCAGGGCGAGCTCGTTGGCGGCGCGCGCCTCGATGCTGACGCCCATGTCGCGGTAGAGTTCCACGCGGGCCTGCACCAGGTCCGAGACGGTGTCGAGGCGCCGCCACCGGGGCCCCGCGTCCTGGCCCGCGGCGCGGCGGTCCAGCGCCGCCTCGAACTCGCGCATGCAGCGCAGCAGCTCGGCCTGGGCGGCGGCCGCGCGCGCGACGGCGGGCGCCAGGAACGAGGGTACCCAGCGGGGGATGCCCAGCCCCAGGAGGACCCAGGACCTGTCGAACTCCTGGAGCAGGTCCCAAAAGTGCGGAAAGTTTTCCATGAAGTCGTCGCCGAGCAGGCTGGGGTTGGCCGTGTAGCCGACGAAGGCGCGCACCAGCTCGTCGAGGGAAGCTTCTACCGACTGCCCGGTCTGGCCGTCTTGATCAGTGCAGCTTCTGTAGGGCTGATTTGCTGCCGCCTTGTAGGTGGCCGCCCCGGGGCTGCTGACATGCTCGAGGCCAGCCACGCGCTCCCATGGCATCAGCATCGCCTGCTGAGTGGCCCCAAGCGTGACAAAACGGTCGATATTGCGCGCTAAGCGTCCGGCGGTGGCCTCAACCATGCGCGTTAGGCCCGGGCCCGACAGCAGGGTGCGGGTAAAGACGTCACTAAGGCGGGGCGACAGCTCGGCGTAAGCGCCCAGCTCCTCAGGCGGGTATCCGAATGCCTTGTCCAGCAGGCGGGCGCGGATCCAGCCGGTGTCGGCGGCGGAGCTGGGCTTCCCCAGCAGCGAGGTGCCGACCCGGTGGCGGAAGATGAAGACGTGCGTTGTCCCGAACAGGTTGAGCGAGGCCACGCCGTCCGGGAGGCTGTCGCGGAGGCCCGTGAGAAAGCTGCAGTGGCCGAACGCGAGATTTGGGATGTGGCCGAGAATGGGGAACCAGTAGGGGATCAAAGGTACCGGTTCTGTTGTCGGGGTGGTGGCCTTGGAGGCCCCGTGCGTCTTGTGGCGTGCCTGTGAGCGAGCCGCCCAGTCAGTCCGGAGGCGGGTCACGCCGGCGACGAAAAGCAGGAGGATGCAGAAGCCTGCGGCTGTCGTGGACGGCCCGCCACCTTGGAGCGGCAAGAACTGGAGATCCAAACCCATGGCGGCAGGTATGGAATTATTAGCAGGTATTCTGGTCCTAGACACGTCTTACTGCAGATGTCTGGTGGCAAAGGAAAAGGAGGAGCTGTGTCGGTACCAGTGACAAGAGGGCGGATGGCGCCCTGATATTCCTCACGGACCGTCACAAACTACCAGGGGGTCACAGGAGCAAGGTCGATGTGCTGCCAGCAGTTTTTTTTTGGCATTTCCTAACATTGGGCATGTCCGATTGGTCAGGTAACGGCGATCGAGAAGCGCCAGTGGGCTGCCAACACCACGCCATGAGTGGACAGGCAGCCGCTCGAAGGGATTGCGCCGCAATGGAGGATGCCGCAGATGTTGCGATGTCCAGGAACGGAAAGTGAGCAACCAACATCCCCGAATTTGAGCCTTACGAGTGGGCCGCCACTCGCTGAAGGAGCAGATGGAGCCACGGGAGCATCCAGTCGGCCTAGACAAATGGGACAAATGCAAGGGGGCACGGCTAGCCGCATCTACTGCGAGATTCGCCTCGGGGCTAGCGTACCTTTGTCACATTGTTATGCATTGGCGATCACACTCCTTCGGTACGAGTGCGGCGTCGAGAAATCTGCGCCACATTGGCCACTCTCAATGCAAGGCACCTGTTTGGGAGCCGCGCAGGGGCTGTCAGGAGCACATTCTCGGCTTCTCGAGCGTTATGCAGGAATGCACATCATGTCAGCACTTTATTTTTCCGGCATGCTCTCTTTCGCCCACACTCATTTTGATGTATGACCTCAGATGCTTAGATTGCTGATTGTACCAAGGCACTAGAGTGTAAAAGTGTCGTTTCCGGGTCTGGGATAACACAAGCACCTGGTGGTGCCTGCCTGATGTAGTAGGTCCGTGCGGAGGGAGTCACTGCTGTTTGGGGGGCTTGCCCGGTCCCAAACTCGCTCCCCAATTATCGAGGGTCAAACCAGATCCAGCGCCCTCAAGTCAGAGAAGTCCAATGACCCATATCCTTCCGTCCTCCACCACGTTATTTGTTCCGAGCAGCCGACCCCTCCACTGGGCGCCTCCCCCTTTCCATCCAGCTTGCAGACGCGAGAAGTTTCTTCTCCTTAGCAGTCTGTCTTGACCGACCATTCTATAAAACTTTTCTCTTCATTTTCCATTACTTAAGCGCACAAGCATCCCTCATCCAACCTTCTTCCTTGATGGACTTCTCGAGGCCACCGCGTCTCCGTCCAGCCACTGCCTCCCTCGGTAGCTACTTTCGACTCTGACCAGCGAAGCATACCGCATTGCCGCCTTTCCTGGTGCTATCCGTTTCGAGGCTTCCTGGGTTCGGCTCCAAAAGATTTTCAACAGATCCGCGGACGCTCTGGCCTCGGAAAGACAGGTTCGGGCCGAGGGTATCCGGATGAGGAGCACACCAAGGGGATCATTGCTGGCGCGGTGAAGTTGCGCCCTCTGTTCGTCTTCACCGAATTCTCGAGCTGCCCCCGAGACGCATCAGAAGCTAACAATCTCTGGTGCTGCGGCTCAAGTATTAGAGTCATCAACGTCGCCCTCAGATTTCGTAGCGGTCTAGCTCTAGTATATTCCCCCATCGACGCGCGTATGGTGCCAGACGGCACACCTGAAGCCCTTTCCGCGAGTTGCGATCCGGCCCAGGAACCATCACACAAGACAGGGCATCTCGAGAGTGGCAAGGCAAGATTAGGAAAGAGAACGAGAGGCTCGCGTCCGAGGCAAAGGCGTATACATTTCATCGTCAGGAGTAAATGGGCAGAGTCCGGTGCAGAATCAGACTGCGTTGCCTTAGACCTCCCACTAGCTCACCACAGGAGCAGCCGTCGTCGGGACCCGAAGTCAGTTCAGTCTGACCTGCGGAATATTGTCACCGGCGCCACGGGGAACGGCCAGAACCCCATCTCTCTACCTACTTCGACGTCACCGAACACTCCCCTGATGCCTTGCCACCAGTCAATCTGGGCTTTGCTCCGGATGTCGGTGTGTCAACTGCCACAGCGTTCAGTGGGAACGCCCAGGATTTGCTGGGCATGTTCTGGTTCTTGGAGAACTTCAAAGTCGTCATCACTGGCGCGTAAAAAAATGCCGCGAAGAAGCCTCGTGGCAGGGCTTCTCAGAAGAGAAAGTCCGCCAAGGCCGCCAAGTCCGCCGAATTTGCGGTAGAGTCCTCGGACGAGGGCGAAGGTCCTGCCATCACCACGCCTATATAAAGCTATCGTCTAGCCAGTTCAGGAGCATCCAATTCGATCTTTTCATTTTGCTACAGACATTTTTACTCCAGTGACGGGCTACAAGCGAACCCGATACTCTTTCAATAACATTGTCATTATTTATCCGCACACAACCACGCAACACCTCCCTACTCATACAAGCTATCATGGCCAGCAAGGACAACAAAGTGGCCAGCCCAGCCCAGGAGCTTCCGCAGTCGGACCCGGAGCGGAAAGGGGCCAGGAAAACGACTCGTCCAACGCTTTTGCTTCTTCGGCCACCCAACCTCCGCCGCCACCCGAACATCGTCGGCCCAAAATCGTGTTCAAGACGACGCCCACCGAGCCTGCCAAGCCTACCGTGCCCATCGCGCCCACCGAGTTTGTCGAGCCCACCGAATCTGTCAAGCCGACCAAGCCCACCCAGCCCGCCGTGCCCGCTGTGCCCGCCAAGCCCATTGAGTCTGTCAAGCCCACCCAGCCCACCCAGCCCGCTGTGCCCGCTAGGCCCGCTAGGCCCTTTGAGCCCGGCGAGCTTCTAAGGCTTAGGCCACTACCCCCTTCGCTCCGTTTTTGGCCTTTTCACACAGACGTTCACCTGTTGAACATCCTCGACAAGCCCAACTACCGCGACTTCACATTGCCTGCCAATACGAAAAGCAAAGGGAGTGCAAACAGCGCTTTCACCAAGCACGGGATAATGCTCCATAGCGGCTATTGCAACCTGCGGAAAATCCCATTCATTGGTCGGGTGCCTTGGTGGTCCGACAACGTTGAGCAAGGCATTTTTGCTCGTGTCGGGAAACAGCCCATCCCGAGCGATGCTGCCCGCGCTGGCAGTGATGCCGGCAAAGCCGCAAAAAAGAACGCCATCAAAGTTCAAGACCTTGCCTACGACTTGACGTACCGCATCCCTCTCGACATTGGAAGATTTAAGGGTGCTCCGGTCCATATGGATCATTGTCATATAGCGAGGGGCTGAACGATGAAGAGAAGAAGATACTTCTGCGGGTTTGCCCTAAAGCTTTGTTTGATTCGCGATATGAAGAGGGGCTGAATGACGACGTGTAGAAGATACTCCGTCGAAACAACCAATAGACGTCAGCGAGAGGAGGATAATGCCAGAGAGGGAAACCATGTTCGACAGGGAACAAATGTCACTGTCAGATCTAGCGAGAACAAGATTCCTGTCGAGCGGATAATTCCAAGTTTACCGCGCTAGCCAAGGCCACTCCTTCGCGCGGAACCGCAAGCCGGAGCAGAAACTATCACACTATCGATCAACACAGCCGGAAGGAGTGTCGACACCGTCCCGGTCAAGTTCCTGTACAGTTACACCTAAGACGAGTAGAGTTATGCTGGATAATAAGCCTCTGCCACTTGTCTGCGTCAACGTCTGCTCCAAGAAGGAGAGCGGGCAGCCGCTCCAGCACTGTTTCAGGCTAGGGCCCTTTTCTAGGCTCAGCAAGATTTATATTTGCAAAGGAGCTTACACCACTAATGAGCCACAACATGGGCCTCCTCTTTATATTCCTCCTTGTAGATATACCTGGCGATTTCCCATTGTCCCCAGAACTTCCTTATAGTTTACTCCAGTCTCACGTCACCTGATAAGCGTAGATATGAAGCTTCCCCACCTGCCAACCATCATACAAAGCCCTTATCATATCACCCACCCAACACCTTGCCCTCACAAGATAGATTTGGAGTGAAGATGGACTCGAAGTCCTTCCTGAAGAACTCCAGCCTTCGGTGTGCCTTTGGGGGTTCAACTCTGCCCATCTGCTATGGTCCATGGGGAACGGAATGGCATTGCCCTAGTTTCAGACTATAGTTGCAAAGGAGGACAGCAACCGTGTGGGATTCCCGTCATCTAACACGCCGAAAACAAAGCAGCTAGCATCTACCGAGGTGGCTTTGTCGTCAAGGTCCACGAGGGATATGACAAATAGGACTTCGCTCTTGTCAAGACCTCTGGACCCTCCGGGAGGTCTCCAAGGAGATCATCACAGGCCCGCAGATGGAATAGCACTCTAATTACTTGCAACATGCACGCATCCATTTCGTGCGGCTCATGGCCTCGCTCATAGAGGCCATCGGCCATCGATCAAAGAGAAGATGAGGGTGGGACTGGTCTTTCGTTCTTTTCCCCGACACGACCTTCGACCGAGCCACCTTTGTTCTTGCGGCACACCATGATTCTTCTTTGTTCCTCGGCTCGTGGTTACTGATTGAAAGGCCGAGGGTAATCATCGGCTGGCCGCGGAGTTGATTACACAAGAGAGTGTCTTTGTTCTATCGAACTCCTCTTATAGACATAAACCTTCAAAAATGGTGCAGCATATGCTGTTGCGCCTTGACGTGCCTGCAGCCACGACCAGCTGCGACTGCAAGCTCCTTGTGCCTTGGAGCTGCCGCAACGACTGCCTCAACGACTGCCCAGCAACGGGATATTTGGCCTGGTTCTTCAGGACTTCACCGAAGGCGGACTGTTATCCCCACAGGAGACTCTGGCCACTAATCACCACGGGAACACGGCCAAAAAAGCAGAGACGCGTGTGGGTAGTAGACCGCGTGGGTGGGTCCCAGGCAGCTGGCATCCCATCTTCTCTATTTAAACTCCCCACCCTCCACCTTCCCTCTTTCCAACCTTCCCACAACAACAACTCTCGACAACTCTTCCTCGAGAACTGATCTTGACTAGACAAGCCTCAAATCGAGCGCAGCATCTACCAACTATCAGCCTATCTTTGCAGGAAGCCCTCGTCTCGAGTACTCACACCCCCTCACCTTCATTCTCCCTCATTGGTCCACGTTTCGGTAGGTGGTCATTCCCTGAGAATCTCTCTTGGGCACTTGGGCATCAACGACGGCACCCAACCCAGCCCCCAGCCACTAACCTTCTTTCCTCTTCACCATATCGCCAGCATCGCGACGTCATCAAGTCGAGTGTTCAGCCCACCTTGAAGCTCACTTCGACTCTTCTTCGACTCCATCGCCAAACGAAACCATCGCCGTTCTTCGCCAAGAACATCTCGCCATGCCTCTTCGCAAGCGACTCCCAGCTGGCCACCCGGCCTCGCGTGGCGCCACGGCAGGCCGAAACAACCATCGCTCTGATAGAGCGTCAGATGTACAGGCTCCGTCGAAGCCATCCGTGGGAGCTCGGGCACGCGATCGCTGCGGCGCCCTCTCCATCAAGATGGCACTGGCGACGAAATCGCTGCCATCCAAGCTCAAGGCTAGGGCCTCAAGTGCCGCGGCAGCTCTCCGCGCGACAGACTGGGGTCTCATCACCATGCCGCACCCGAATATCACCGGGCGTATGCCGGCTGCCCAGTCCGGATCGAGCACGGACAACGGCTCTCATCAGCAGAGCCACAGCACGAACACACCTCGCGTCGCCGCCGGGGAGGTCTAGGATCCCTCCTCCGGTGTGCCTTCGCAGGGTACTATCGTTGCTGTCCTGGCGGTAAACCCTGATGGCAGCAGCTCTGGGGCGTCAGGATCGTCCCCACAAGCGAGCCCGCGGTCGCCTCGGGATACCACGACCTGCTCCTCACCGCCGTCGTCGCCTGCCACCCCGACGAGTTCAACGGGAGCCGGCACAATGACTTCCCGCGGTACTCAGTATGAGGCGAACCAGTGTCTTTCTATCGGCCCGGTCATGGTTGTGGAGACCACGACGCCCAGCGAGGTGACTGAGGCGGAGACACAGCACGAGGCCAGCCAGTGCCTTGCTATGAGCGATATCATGCTCGTGGAGAGTACGACGCCCGAGGATGTGCTGGACATGGAGATGGAGTACGAGGATGACCAGTTCCTCTCTCTCAGCACTATCATGATTGTGGACAGCACGTCGCCGGAGGACGCAGCCGATGAGACGGCGCAGATTGAAGCCAGCCAGTGCCTCTCCATCAGCGAGATTGCGGTCGTGGAGAGCACATCGCCCGAGGACGATACGGACGCGGCAATCCCTCTCACGCCTGAGCTGTCTATGTCGGGGATCATGGTCGCCATCGACTGTGCCCTAAAGAGCGAGGATACGCCGCATGTATCTCATGACATTATCAATGGTGCGGCCACCAAGGCTGCCGCGATGTCTCCTTGCCCCATTGTCCGTCTTCCTCCCAACCCCGCTGTGGGTTTCCTCGCCTACGACTCGGATTCGGATAGCGAGCATTCACAACAATCCTGGGAGTTCGTCGCTGTCGACGGTGCGGCCACTGAGGATGCCGCCATGTCTTCCCGTCCCATCGTCCGCCTGCCTCCGCGCCACGATCTTGGTGGTCTAGGTAGCGACTCGGATGCGGATAGCGAGAGCTCCTGCCAGTCCTCGGAGTTCGTTGCTGATCCGCAAGAGGCGGTCTATAGCCAAAGGGGCCCATACAACGAGGTCGCCGGCCAGGATGACCCCCGCGACGATGTCTCCGGCGAGGACGACGGCATGGACGGGTATTCCAGCGACCGAGACTCTGACGAAGAGTTCCCAGCAGTGTCACAGGAGGTCCTCAACCGCCTCATGGGGGAGGGCATGGACATGCTGGGCAACAAGTCGGGCCCGCTCCCGGGATCGAAAGAGGACGCAGCGCCGCAGCTGGACGCCTACTTTGCCGAGCGGGACCAGACCGATTTGAGGCCATGCTATGCCAAGGCCCTTCTGCGCAAGAACTGGGCTAGGTTCCCGGACGAGGTGGCGAAAACCCCGTTCTGCCCGCGACCTAAGAAAGAGTGGAAGAAGTACCAGGTCAGCTGGGACAACTGGATCTCGACGGGCCGCCTTCCTTTCTCCGGGCGGATGAAGGAGAGATTTCCGGGCGACGCTTGGGACTCGGACTCGGACGACGAGTAGGCTCCCCAGAATAAGCGTTTGCCCGGGGGCGGGATGTGGCAAAATAACCGAAACCCCACATCTGAAGACCGAGGCTTGAGAGCATACCAGCATTTTTAGACAAGAGACTGCTCTATCGCGCATGGTCGTCGACATGGCCTGTGTACCACCTCCGACTGGCACGAGCCACATCCACCAACTCCTCCAGCCGAGCGGGGAGAAGTGGCGTGGGAAGTCGGCCTCTCTTTCTATCGCAGAGATGCGAATCGCAGTGTGTCATGCGATCCTTTCCTCTTCTCCTCTTATCGGGCGGCGTTCTTTGCATCATCTCAAGAAGGGCAATACATTTCACATCTCGCCATATCTTACATCTTTCACGTTTTTTGCCCTTGATCAAGATCTTGATTCCTCATCTTTCTACACTTTACCTAATACTATTCTTCACTTTCTACTTATTAGCAACCTTAATACTCCTACCCTTTTGTATTCCTGTTATTTATCACACTTTCGCTGCGTGGCTCTGATTGGACTTTTTGTGCTTGGAAAAAGGGATATTTGTGTGAGATCTTTTGCGTCCGCGCCGGGGCAAGGAGAAGAGCCCACAGGCTGAACGAGTACTCGCGCCTTCACGACCAATTCCCCTCCACCCACGCGGGAAACTTTGCGGGCGACGTGGGTATGGCTGACGGCGGCCCCCTTGGCTTGCGAGGGAATATTTGTTCGGTGTTCTTGGGCGAATGGCGCAACTTATGTTGTAGGAAATACGACCTAAATGAGAGGGACAGGTGGCGGAGATCATTCTTTGTAATTTTGGCTGGTACAAGAGGAGACCCCTGCCTGAGCCTGGTAGAGGAACCCTCCTGGAGGGATAATAGCTCGCATAGATCAGCCCAGAAATAAACACCATGATTTGAGACTCTACCTAACTTCGCGGTCGCTAGTGCGCCAGGGCAGCGAGGGGACCGGGCTGGGCCAATATCAGCTGAGCCCGACCAGGGACGCTGCCGGGACAACGCCGGTTGAGCGGCCCATTCATGCGATGCAGGCGACGCTCGGCAGCGTCGGCGCCGTCAAGACCGCGCAGGAGCCGGGTGCACATACGTGCAGCATGGGTGCGAATATCAGCAAACAAAAGGTACTAGTCCTCAGCGGCGCCGGCGGGGTCGAGAGGAAGAGGCGTTTCGCCACCGACACGGAAGAATCCCTCGTGCACAGCGGCCAAGCGCTCGAAGTCGCCAAGGTCACCCTCCATGTGCGCCAGCGACTGCAAAGCTGGACGGTAGCAATGCAAAAGAAAAGGATAAAAGTGCGAGGGAACAGGGGAACAAATGTAGCAGTGTTGGTTCACGCAGGGTCATCAAATCCTGAAATTCATGGGTCACATATATTTGCTTGGTCATAAAAGTCTTGTTGAATATATGCAAAGATGGCCGCGTGGTGTATCCAGCTAGTAGCCCTCCATCGTTGAGCAGCCTTGCGCTTCGCTGATGCGCTTTTCCCAGGCCAGCCAGCTCTCAATATCCTCCTGCCAGGGAGTCCAGTTGACGTCATCGGGCGCGATTTCGGCCGGCGGCAACAGGTGCCAGAAATTTCGGATGTCGGCGCCGTGCTTGAGCAGGGACCAGGCGGCGATTTTGGCACGAGCCCAGGCCCAGGACTGCATGGTCACTATGCTCGGGGGCGCCCTCGCTAGCTCCTCGTGGTCCTCGGGAGAGAGCGGGACGTGGTTGGCGAGAAAGTGGCGCTGGAGAGGCAGGCCGCTGTGGTGCGGCCACTTCCCGTCGCAGCCGGAGATGGGGCAGACGAGCAGGGTTCCCTGGCAGGGCTTGAAGTGGCAAAAGTACAGCCATCCGCCAGCCCTGTGCTCGTAGAAGGCTGCCATGTTGCCCTCATCCGCGACCTTCCGAGCCTCCTCCATCTTCGCGACGGCCAGCTTCGCGAAGTGGGTGGTAAGGAGGTGCTCGATGTTGGGTTGGCCGGCTGGCGTTTCGGACAGCTCGCTCCTCTCCGCGACGCTCTCGGTATCGGCCGCGGTCAGCGCGTCCTCCATGATGGCGTCCTCCTCCTCCGAGAAGCGTCCACGCTTTGGGGCCGGCAGGCTATTTTCGTCCTCGTTGGATCGAGGATGCGATCTCGGCATAGGGCTTGCTTGGTCCATGGCGGGATCCGGGCTCTATGATCTCGGCGCTGGTGTGGATTTACTCTATCAAGACTTGGTGCTTGTTTGTACCAGGGGAGGAGAGTGATCAGGTAGAGGGCAAGAAGGCAGAGGGTAACAAGAGGGGTCGGACAGGAAGAGAAGACGGGCAAGAAGACTCAGTATTAAATGCTCGGGAGAACAACCAATGCTAAAAGCTCGACTGAACGGCATCATGCAGAACGTTCGACATGAGATAGGTGCTTCTTTGTTGGCAAACCTTGCTGACAGATCATCATGTAGAAAGACTCTTGCTGGATGAATGTACTTGAGCGAGTCTTTGCATTGTCCCATGCCGGACAATGGAGGGAGGGCTTCCGATTTTGGAAAGAGAGACCCGCCCCAGGACACGGAAAAGAACCCGAGCGTCATTGTGTGCGGAGGCAAAGTTGGTTGAGCTACATTGAATAGGCCGCCGCAACAAAGGTCTTGTCCTACTCACAAAGACTTAACGGCAAGACTTGAGTGTTGATACAACCCTTGGCTGGGACGTTGCTTACAGGATGAGAGGCCATGTGGGAGAGCGGCGGCATCGTCAACTCCTAGGAAGTACCTATGGTGGCCTAATAACCACTGCCGGCCAATCAACGATCCGCTTTCTGGCTTACAAAAATCATCGTGGCGAGTGGGTGTAAGCGGGTGGTCTTTCAGCTTATCCTTTGCATCTTGGCACGTCTGGGCAAAATCACCTGCAAAGCGACTAGTTCGAGCCGGTCGATACGAGGCCGCTTAAATTATTGGAAGCTTTTACGCCCCGGCAGTCAGCTGCCCCACCGCCCCGAAGCCAGCGTTGCACTGCCCCGTTGGGGGTGGAATCCAACTGTGCGTGGATGGGTGGGGGGCTTGGGAGATGGGTCATCTGGTAAGGCCGGACATTATCGACTAGCTAATGTCTTGTATCACTGGAGCCCATACGCGGCATATAAGACAGCATCGCGCCCAGGCGTGCCGCTGACAGGAGCTGCTCCCTTGAAATGTAATGTTAAACTCGACACGAAGCGCGGGGACTCACCCAAACCGTTCCCTCCCCGCCAAGCGCCGCACTACCCCTAGGTCAGGAAGACAGAGACGCGAGCATGGCGCTATCTAGCTATGATGGAGGGCAGCCAACGGACCTGGCGGCGCTCTGGGACCAGGCGTTGACCTCGTACTCGGAGCGGACTAGCGTCGACATCCGCAAGGCTATGCAGCCGCAAAAGTCCATCAACTCCATCATGATGGACCAGCAGCAGCTGCTGCAGGCCTTCTCCGGGTTCCGGCACAACAAGGGCAAGACCGACAAGCTGCGCACCGTCGTCGCGCGCAACGCCGACGTGATCCAGAGCGTGGCCGCGCTCGTCGCCAACGCCGCCAGCGGCGCGTTCCCGCCCGCGGCCACGGTGCTGACGGCCTTCACCTACGTGCTCAACGCCAGCAAGCACGTCAGCGACGACTACAACGCCATCCTGGGCTTCTTCGATCTCATGAACTCGTTCCTCGAGCGCCTCTCGCTGCTCGAGGGCAAGCTGCCGCGGCTGCCGGCGTTCCAGAAGTTCGTCGTGCACGTCTTCTCGTCCATGCTGCACGTGTCGGGCATCGCGCGCGGCTACTGCCTCAAGGGCCGCTTCATGAAGTGGGCCAAGGCGCTCGTCGAAGGGTCGGACGAGGAGCTGCAGGGCGCGCTCGACAGCCTGAACGAGAACCTGCGGCGCCTCGAGTCCGCCATGCTCATGCAGACGCTGCGCACCGCGATCGAGACGCACGACGAGGCGAGGGCCACCAAGGACGGGGTCTCGGCGCTGACGGGCCACGTCAGGGAGCTCCAGGGGTCCCTCGACAAGAACACGGCCATGACGGAGCAGACGCTGGTGTACGGCGAGCGCGCCATGAACGCGGCGCTCGAGACGGGCGCGGGCATCAAGGACCTTCTTGTCAGCAGCCACGAGGGCGCCGCGATGGGGCAGACGCTGCTGCGGCAGCAGGCCCAGATCCGCCTGAGCCTCGAGAGGATGCAGGGCGGCAGGAAGGTCTGGGCCCTTAGGGCCGGCGGCGTCGCCAAGACGCCGAATCTGGAGCAGCTGCGCGCCTATCTCCCCAACGCGGGCGAGGGCGCGATGCGGGCGCGGCTGGACGAGCTCGAGCTGGCCAACCCGCGCATGTTCCAGTGGGTGGAGACGGAGCCTCTGTTCGAGGAGTTTGCCGAGGAGCGGTCGCGGTCGCTGTGGCTCTCGGGCAAGTCGGGCATGGGCAAGTCCACCGTCTGCTTCAAGATGCTCCAGCTCCTGCGGGACCGCGTCGTGGAGGAGCAGAACGCATATGTGGTGGCCTACTTCTTCGAGGAGACATCGGCCGGGGTTGTGCCCAACGACTGGGAGTCGGACATTAATAAGATGATCCACTGGGTGGGAATCAAGGTGGCCGAGCAGGATACGCACTACCGCGATGAACTTCTCACGGCGCTGCGGAGAGGCGTCTGGCCGATCGCTGATGACTACTACTGGCAGAACGTCATCCAGGATCGCTTCTCCAAGAGTGCGAGCCGGAGGCTTGTGTTGATCCTCGATGGCGTGGATCTTTTGAAGGAAAGCGACCGCATGGCGCTGCTCAACCTTTTGCAGTTGGTCGAGAGCGAGGGGTTACGCGTCCAGTTCGTCCTGGCAGGCGACTCCAAGATGGAGCCTGCACTGGAAAGACTTGGCGAGCGCAAAATCGCGCTTACCAAGGAAAAGCTTGCGTCTGACTTTCGAAAGCTCGCCATTTTCCGATCCAAGGAGCTTCCAAGGCTTCGAGGGCTGCGGGTTAGTTTCAGGAAGATCATGGTCAGGAAAGTGGCACACATGGCCGACAGTGAGCACTATTCCCACCCCAGCGCGTTACTTGAAACTCGGGACCAGAGTGGGCGTTACGGCTAACATAAACTAGATTTTTTGTACATCGAACATACCATGCGGCGATTCAACTCGCTGCGGCGCGAAGCCCTCATCCTCAAGGAGCTCGAACACCTCCCAGAAAGCATCATGCAGCTGTACGAGACGCTCATCAACGAGTGCAAGAGAGGCCGCACGCCCGACGAGCTGGAGGTGCTGCGAAGCCTGTTCGCCTGGCTGGCGTACGCGAACAGCGAGGTCACCATAGCCGAGGCCTCCAAGATCATCGCCATCGTGGCGCAGGAGAACTCGATCAGCATCGAGGAGGAGCTGGACGGGCGGTCTTCGCGCCTGCTCCGCATCTCGAGGAGCCAGGACGACAACGACACCAAGGTGCAGGACTCGGACGTCAGCGACTCGGACAACTCGGACTCCAAGCCCGACGATCACGGGGCGGGCGACGACCGCGGCGCCGATAACATCCTCGGCTTCCAGGAGCGGTCACTGCGGGCCTTCTTCCGGCAGGCGGGCGAGAACGACCAGGGCCTGAAGTGCAGCCCTTCGGAGGCTCATGCAATCATCCTACGGATCAGCATCGCGATCCTTAGGACTTCGTGCGAGGAGAAGCTGTACTCGGAGGAGTTGGCGAGGTACTCGGCCGCCAACTGGAGCAGCCACTTCCTCGCCATCGACAGGGAGAGCATCAGCGACGCCCTGGCGGCTGAAGTGCTCGAGTCGATACACAGCCTCCTAAGCAACAAGAACAGTGCGCTCAGGCAGATAGAGTTCAGTTTGCCACCTTCGGCAACTGTTCTTGATGGCGAAGAACAAGTTCCGGGGGGAGAGAGCTCTACTGTCATTCACTGCCTTCAGGCCTGGGCCAGGAGGGCACTGAAGCTTCCTCCAGGGGTACTACCGTATGGTCTAGCCGACTGGTACCGTCCGCTGGCGGCCGAGCCGGCACGTGCTTTCATAACGCTGGCGCGCAGCCACATCAACAATTGGTTCTCTGCCGAGGGCACAATCGATGCGTATTCATCCTTCCACGCCGCACAGAACGCTCTCAGGGCGGGCTCGCACCTCCCAGAGCTGAGGCAGAATCCCGGGCTGAGCCAGTACTTCGAGAGGCACCCGGAAGAGGACGAAGCCGACGTCGAGTCGTTCGAAGTGGTCGCCAACGCCTTCTGGGACATTGTCAAAACGTCGGCGTCGCACCGGGGCATAGCCAGGGCCATGAAGATGGTGGAGCTGTGGGAGCCGGCCATCGCCCAGCTCGACACCAGCCTTTCGCTGGTGGAGGAGGGGGCCAACAAGGAGGGGGAGCGGTACGACGTGATGAGCAGCAAGGGGGACGCCATCCTCGAGCTCGCGCAGAGCTTGGCCGTCTCCGACCCGGACCGCGCCAAGGAACTCATGGGACAAGCGGTCGAGATATTAGCCGAGGCGCTCAGGATCCGCGACGCGCAGATAGCGCAAAACCCAGATGTCATCAAAACCAAGGAAGGCACTTTTGCCGCCGTGTGGCTATGGAGTGTGCTGAGCAACCATGCCCTTGCTTGTGCCGGGATAGGCGACTTTGATGCAAGCCTTGCTAGCATCAAGCGCTTCGTCGACTATAAGGAATGGCGGATTCCGATGGGCTTCCTCGAGAAAATTATCAGGTCCATGGTGAACGGCGACAAGGCATCTTTGGTGATAGTCCTGCTCAAATCAGTCAGCCCCGGCGACAGGCTGGCCCTCTTCCAGTCGTCGAATCTCAACAGCCCCATGTTCAGGGCGGTGAAAAAAGAAGGGGAATGCGAGGCCATGCTCGAGCTGCTGGACTCGGCCAGCCAGTACGCCGCCGAGCGAAAGGCCTACCACTCGCGAGCCCAGCTCCTCGACCTCGCGGCGCAGTTCGCGTGGTCGGTCATGGGCCGGGACGAGGATGCCAAGGACCGGCTGCGCACGCTCCTGGCCGAGCCGCAGATCCCGAGCACCTACATGGGCGAGGCGGCCGAGCTCCTGTCGCAGCTGCTCTACGAGCAGTTCCGGCGCTCGCCGGCGCCCAACACCAAGAACTCGGCGCTCGAGGAGCTGCGGGGCGTCCGGGGCAGGCTCGAGGCCGACATCGCAGACTTCAACCCGGCCCGGTCGGACACGGTGGTGCCGCTAGCGCTGATGCTGCGCAAGCTGGGGCCGGCGCTCGACTACGCCGACACGCTCCAGGCGGCCTTTTCCCTCTGCATCGAGGGGCTCAAGGACGACACGGGGGCCAACGACTTTCAGAGCCTGCGGCTGCTGGCCAAGGTGCTCATGTGCGTCGACGGCCTCGAGCGCGACGCGCAGATCGCGTATACGGCCCAGCAGTACATTCTTGACGATGATGTCTTTCGACGTGACGAGGCTGAATCTAGGGAATCTGACGAGGGCGCGGACCTTGCGGCTGGGCAGCAGCCTGAGGGAGCGACGGATGGGGAGGAGTCTGAGAAGACGCTGAATGAAGAGGAAAAGGGAAGGGAGGAGAAAGAGCCAGGGCAAGAACAAAACATAACCACCCCAGGTCCGGAAGACGAGAAACCGCAACAAGGGGCACAGAAAAAAGACAACGAAGCCCCAGCAGCTCCGAGCGCCACAGACAAGGCCACCGAGCCCCCGCCTCCAACACTCGAAGACGAGATCCATGAGGGGCTACTCCCCGACACCATGCGGGAGATATACATCTGCGACATGTGCCACCAGGGCATCTGGGAGTGGGGGGAGGGCGCGTCCTACTACTGCGTGCAGTGCACCCAGGTCGACCTGTGCGCGGCGTGCATGGCGAGCAAGCTGGCCCGCGAGCGCGGGGAGCCAGACCCGAGCCCGAGCCCGAGTGGCATCGACTGGCGCGTCATCTGCCCCGAGGGCCACCGGCACGTCAAGGGCCCCGTCGAGGGCTGGAGGGGGGTGCGGAACGGGAGGATGCGGATCGGGGACGAGGAGACGCCCGTCAAGCAGTGGATTGCGGATTTGGAGGCGAGGTGGGCGGCGTACTGGAAGCGGTACTGGTCCGAGTCGCTGGGGGATTAGGTCCTCTCCACGGCTGTGGCCTTGTTTTATGTTGTGGAGTCGAGGGTGTCGAATTTGTCGAGGCGTGAGATGAGCCTTCTTTTGCCCTTATGTTTTTATGCCCCTTTTTTTAATTTATAAAATCAGGAGCCGCTACGCTAATTTGACGCCTGCACGGCCCTCCGGGGGCAACCGTTAAATTGCCCTGATTTTAATTTTAAATGTTTAAGGCAAAAGAGTAAAGTAACAGTGCTTTTTTGGTGTTTTAATTCGTTTTTCGGACAATACAAAAAAGCATTAAAGGCGTTAGCGAAGCCTTAGGGCGTAGCTGTTTTTTTATTGTTTTAACCCCATTTACCGCACAGGCCAAATAACGCATACAGCGGTAAGGCCGTGCTTAATTTAATGCCCCGGGCCGATAACGTGGGCTTGAAAAACTCGTAATGCCTTTATTTTTAATCGTTAAGCAAACCAATTGTACCGGAAACCCACCCATAAAAAAGCAAAGGCGCATTTTACTATATAAAACCGCGGCATTTAATGGATATTAACAAATTATTTTTGTGGTTTAACGGGAAGGCGTGCAAAGCGGCACAATCGGCGGGTTATAAATATAAGGACCGGAATGCCGTGGTTACAAATGCGCGGGTTCGAGCCCCGCCCCTTTCCAAATTTACTTTTTTGGAATTTTTGGTTTTTTAATTCCAAATTAAAAATTAACTTACTTTGCATTTACTTTGTACCGTTATTTTTTGGGTTTAATTTTAAATTAAAAATTAACTTACTTTATATTTACTTTATACCGTTATTTTTTGGGTTTAATTCCAAATTAAAAATTAACTTACTTTGCACTTACTTTATACCGTTATTTTTTAAAAATTATTTTTAAAAGCAAAAGAAAAGAATTACTTTTTTGCAATTGCGAATAGCTTTATTTCTTTTAAAATTTAAATTCCTAACATTACTTTACGTTAAGCTTAAAAGTTAAAACTTTTAAAAAAAAACGATTGGTACAATTATTAAATAAATTTTTTAACCTTTTCGTTAAAAGCTTTTTACGAAAGCACGTTAAAAGTGGCAAAAGGCTTAAAAACCTCGTTACGTCGTTTGCGGCGCTCGTAGTTTTGAATGCGGAAAGGCGTAACAATATTTTTAGTAATACGGATATTGTTTAAAAAAAAGGGCACGTTAAATATAATACCGTTAAAGGATTTAACTTTCGAAATAGCAACGTATATTAAGCCAAACAGGAAATTTTTGGCAAAAATATCGAAAATAGCGATATTAAACGTTATGCTTTGTAATTTGTAAATAATAATGGCGTACAATACCGTAACAAAAAATTGTATTCGGTTGCAAACCGTATTTTTTTTTTAAAAATTTCGAAAAATTCGGAAAATAAGCATAACGTTGGCCGGGATGCTAAGGTTTTTAAAAAAGCAAAAAGGGCCGTTGTATTTATTAATTTGCACCAAAAGGAAAAAGGAAGGCGTAACGCGAAAATCGATAGTGCAAAAGGCTTAGGTAATATCCCAAACGTGGCCGGAAGCATCGTTAACAAAGCTAGCCTTAGTTTAAAGGTTATTCGTAATTATTATTTAAACTTTAATGCATAAAGGTAAGGCATTGTACAAATTGCCGGCGTTTCGGGATTCGATAGCTTCGGCCTTTTGGCCAATATTGTTAGCACGGACCTAAATTACAAGCTTATCGAAATGCTCCAAATACGTAAAATTATATTTTTTAATTAATGCGTTGGTTGGATAAATGCAAATAGCCTTATTAAAGCGAGCAATTTCGGCAAGCCGGAAACGGGTAAAAATACGGGTTAATAAAACCTCCCAATTACGGCAAAAAGGCGTATTGTTTCGCAAACTTTTAAAAGCAATACGAAAATTAAAAGCGTTAATATCGTTTCCAATTTAGCGCATAAATTAAATAAGCTTAACAATTTTATTAAATTTGAAGTAAGCGTTGCGTTTTGCCATTTCGGGGAAAGTGCGAAGGTTGGTTTTAAAAAAGTACAAAGCCTTTTGCATAACGGGAAGCAATTAAAAAAAATTTTTTATTAATACGAAATTGCGGCCGCTAAAAGGAAAATTTGGCTTTTTAAAAATTTAACGCATACAGCAATCGATAAAATTTAAAGTAACGATATTTATTATTAACTTTTCGTCCAAAAAAATGTATTTAACGTTTTTTATGCCATTGCGGATTTTGGCGGCCCTTTATGCAATAAAATCGTCCACAAAAGTATTGGCATAAAATTAAACCGGCAAGCAAAAAAAAAAAATGGATCGTAATACCGTTAATAGCATTAGCTATTACGCCAATCGGTGCGGCACGCTTAATAATATTTTGGTTAATGCTACAAACAATATTAAAAGCGCAAAAGCTAAAGCAAATAAAGTTTAAAACAAAAATTTTGCCCGTACCTTTACGTTTATCAATTTAAAGGAGCAATTAATGCTTACGCTAACAACGGCGGGTAAAAAAGTACCGGTTAAAATTAACGGCCAATACCTAATAGTTAACAATTTGGTTGTAATATAATCGCTATTGCGGGTTTAACTAATTTAAAACGAATAGCGAAACGGCATTATTAACTTTTAAATTACCTTACCGGAATTTTTTCCAATAAAACCAACGCTAAAAAAAAAGATTTGCATAGCGGCTAACGTAAAATAGCCAATCCTTTGCTAGGTTAAAATTTCGGTTGCCGAATATTTCGATATTTTTAATTTTAAAACCTCGAAAAGGGAATTTGGCAATAAAATAAACCCAATCGGCGCGTATAAAATCCGCCGGGTTATTAACGGCTTCGGGGTTATTTTCGAACTTATTGTTAACGCTTTTAACTTTATTTTCGTCGATGCAAATATAGCTATTCTCGTTGTAAGCAAGGCAATTGGCCTAGCAATGCTCGTATGCTTTAAAAAAAGTGTTAAAAGTTTTGCTAAGCACGGTTTTAAAAGCGTTAAGCGTAAAATGGGGATGGTGCAACATTAGCTTAATTTTGCAATAATTTTTTCGTTCGGGGTTATTATCCGAATTAATACGCTTGTATTTCGGAAAGTAATTTAGCACGCAAAGTTTAGCGGTAAGGCTAAAAAAACATTACGGGGCGCGTTAATAATTTATTTTAGTAAAAAACGTAAAATACGTAAAGCTTGGCCAATTTTTCCGGTTTATATACTTTTGGTATAATTTGCAAATAGCAATAATTTTGTTGTAATTAGCGCTAATTATAACGGCGTTTTGGTTAAAAACGAAAGGATGGCAATTAACCAATTGGAAAACGTAATTGCATTGAATTAAAAAAAGGCCGAATTGGTAATAACAAATTTCCATAATAAACCAATTTCGTTCGGCCATTAGCTTATTTATTATTTTAATAACGAAAAATACCAAAAGCCAAATGTGCGAAATTTTAAAAATAACGCTTTTTATAATTTTTTTAAAAAGGAACGTTTGTATTTTCGCTTTAAAAACGTATTTAGCGATATAATTAAGTACATTTTTAAATAAAGTGCAAAGGTTTGCATCCGTATTGGCCGTTTACGCTAAGGTTACGCCGCGTATATATTAATTTATACGCTCGTCGTTGGGGCGGGCACCGTTGTATATTAAGTAGTTGGGGTTAAACGTATTGGTAAAATGGGCGGTAAAGTAAAGGGCACGAAGGTAATGGAAGCAATAACTTTTTGTAGCAACGGGGGCCGGAGGTTAATATTCGGCAATAAAGCCCGAAGGCTAACCTTTAACAATAGCAACGGGCCGGCGTTTCGGCACCTTTTTTTTCCGCATACAATACGTAACGTTGCATTAATACCGTTAAATTCGGTTGGTAATGCGGGAAAAGGATTTAAAGATAAGCTGCAAGTTATTGGGTTTAAGGCTAATATCGTACTTTAAAAGATTGTTTTCGTTAAGCGGTAAAGCACGGCCAGGCTTTATATTTTCGGCGGTAACGTGCATGCCCCAAAATTCTGTAAAGTGCTTTTTGCTTTTTTTTGCTTTTATTAAAATAACGTTGGAAGCGTTGGTTACCCAAAACAAGCCGTGGATATAAAGGTTGCTACGGTTTTGCCATTTGTAGCGAAACCAATAACCCGAAAATTTAAACCGTTTTATTAAATACTTTTCGAAAAAAAATTTAAACCGGCGATGGAAATGGTAAGCGGCGATTTAAAGGTAAGCTCGAAAGTTTTTACGGGCAATCCTTTGTTTAACGGCATTATTGTTTCGCTTTTAATTGTAATAGCAAAGCATAACCTTGGCCAAAAAGTGCTAGTGCAAATTGGCCGTTAAAAACGTTATAAAAAGGTAAAAACAACCGAAAGCATAGTATAAAGCATTTAGCTTCCGGCTTTCCCCTTTTTAAAAAGGGCGGGTGCTTGTTATTGTTAATTTTATCCTTCGATAAAAAGTAAGGAAAAAAGGGAACGCCCGTTTTGTGCTTGTTTGCTTGTGCTTTTAATGGTCGCGGGTTTACAATATTTACCCGCAAATGGTAAAAAAAATACCGGTGCACGCTAAAACGTTTCGAAGACTTTTGGACTTACCGAACCGCAACGTAATGTAAAGGGCAACGCCCGCTTTATGCTTGCTTGCTTGTATTTTTAATGGTTACGGGCTTACAATATTTACCCGCAAATAGTAAAAAAGATACCGGTGCACGCTAAAACGCTTCGAAAACTTTTGGATTTACCGAACCGTAACGTGGTATAAAAAGGAAATAACGTAATAATAAGGAAAAGTATTGCTTTGGATATGCTAAAAGGATGGGAAGATATTAACTTACCCTTTAAAACATTAGCGAAGCGGACAATAAAGTTAAGCAAAGCTTGGCTTTTAACGGTATCCCCGTTAAAGGCCTTTTTTAATTAATTTACGCTATCGAATTTGTAACGGGTACCAGTACGGTTAACGAAAAAGTTGCTTTTTTTGTTAATTTGGGCTTTTATTATAACGTTAAAAGCAACGTATCGAAAGCGGGGGTAATTTGCAAAACGCCCGTTATGCCAGTATAAAGCATATCGCACCCAAGCTACAAAGTTAACCTCCCGCAAACAAAGGAAAATATACTTACCGGCTCCGTAAAGCATTAATAAAAGAAAAGCCAAATTTATTAAAGCAACGCAATGGTTAAAATCGTTAATAAGCGTAAATTTAACGGCGGGCAAAAAAAAAACGTTATTTCCAACGGGGCGTTTTGGAAAGCGCTAAAAGCTCGCGATACGCATTGGAACGGCGGCAAAATCGCCGGCTTCGCGAAGTATTTAAGCCCGGAATTAATCGAAATTTTGTTAATTGCTTATAAAGTTAAAAGCAGCAACGTTTTTTTGCTTACCCTTTGCGTTTGCGCGGATTGCTGCTTAAAAAGCTTTATAATTAATTTCGTTAACGTTAACGTGCACAAGCTAATCCCGCACGTTATCGTTTTTAAGCAAAAACCTTAAAACTTTTTCGTTAATTTCTAAATTTTCGTAACCAGGCTAATTGGCCACTAACCAAACGAACCAAGCTTAAATAACGTAACGCCGGACTTTAAAATCCCTTTTAAAAATACGGAATATGTAGCTATCGTTAACAAAAGCAAAAGGCTCGGCACTTGCACGGCTTCTTTAACTTCGATTTCGATTTCGACCCCAACTTTAACCAGCGTTTGCAAAGCCATTGGCAAAAAAGCCGCTAGCAAAAAGGATAAAACGGAAAATAACAACGCTAACGTTTCGAAAAAAAAAAAGGAATTTATTGTATAAAGCGCTTATATTGCGCTAAAAGCAAATGGTATAACTTTAATACTTTAATTGCTATTTACGTACAAAAAAAGCGTTAATATAAATGTAAACCCTAAATATTATTTGCTTTTTAATTTTTATTAAAGTGCCGAAATTTTTAAACTTTTGCGGTACGTTTTTAAAATGCATGTAATTTTCGTTGGAAAATAAAATAAAAAAATTAGCAAATTGGCCGGCGTTTTTGCAACGGTAATGTTAAAAGCACGGGCGAAACCGCCCGGCAAAAAGCGGGAAGCGTTAAATGCACGGGCGAAACCGCCCGGCAAAAAAGGAAAAAGGGGGCGCTAGCAGCTAGCCAGGCACGAATCCCCCGGAAACATGCCGGCGAATTACCGGTATTGCGGCCAAAGCATAATAACGAAGTTAAAAAATAAGGTAAAGCTTAAATTGCACGAAAGCGCTTGGAGCGCGGAAAATTTAAAAAACCAACCCCGGGTGCCCAAAAGGGTACGAAAAAAGGGAAATTAAAAAAAGAACAATTTTTGTTAGCGATAGCACTTTTGGTAAGAAATTTACGGAAATTTAATAAAAGAAATACCGTATCCGGCCCGTAACCCGGTAATTACCCGCTTTTGCACCAATTAACCCCTAATATATTGTTCTTTTTTTATACCTTT